AGTACCATACTGTTTCCATAGTGGTTGTACCATTTTACGGTCCTATTAGCAATGGATAAGGTTCCAATCTCCCCACATCCCTACTAACTTTTGGTGTTATCTGTTTGTTTGTTTTTATCAGTTCCATTTTAGCTAGGGTAAGATGCTATCTTATTTTGGTTTTGATTTGTATCTCTCTAATTGCTAATAATCATGAACATCTTTTCATATGTTTGCTGGCTGCTTGGAAGTCCTTTCTGGTAAATGTTCTATATATTGTCCATTTTGTGATTGGTTTGTTTGTTGTTGAGTTGTTGTAGATTTCTTTAGACTTTAGAGTATAGACCCTTATTGGATAAGTCATTTCCATTTCCAAAGACTTTTTCTCAGCCTGTACATTGTCTATTTATTCTTTTAATAAAGCCTTCTGATGAGCATAAGTTTTTAATTTCTATGAGATCTCATTTATCTACTTCATCTTCTTTTATTTGTGTATTTGTTGTAATGTTTGTTAACTATTTTTGCAAAAGATTAGATCTCACAGTTTTCTTCCTATGTTGTCTTCCAGGAATTTTATTGCCTTATGTTTAACATTAGGAGCTCTGGTAGCATAGTGCCTAAGGCACTTGACTGTTAACCAGAAGGCTGGCGGTTCAAACCCACCAGCCACTCCTTGGAAGGAAGGTTGGGCAATCCTACTTCCGTAGTGATACTGCCTTGGAAACCCAAGGGGGGGTCGCTATGAGTCGGGGCCGACTCGATGGCAAACAACAACAACATGTTTAACATTTATGTTTTTCATCCATTTTGAGTTCATTTTTATGTATGGTGTGAGGTATGGGTTCTGTTTCATTTATCTGCAGGTAGATACCCTGTTTTGCCAGTACTATTTATTAAAGAGACTGTTTCTGCCCCCACTGAATGGACTTTGACCCCTTGTTGAAAATAAGTTATCCAAAGATGGCTGGGTTTAATTCTGAGTTCTCAGTTCTATTTCATTAATCGATGTGTCTATCACTGAACCAATACTAGGCTGCTTTGATTACAGTGTCTGTATAGTATGTTTTCATATCAGGCAGTGTGAGGCCTCCTGCTTTGTTCTTTTTCTTTACCATTGCTTTGGGTATTTGGTGTTTCCTTCCTTTCTACGTGAAGCTGGTCATTAGTTTTTCCATGTCAGTAAAGAATACTGTTGGGATTTATATCAGGATTGCTTTGCATCTGTAGATCACTTTAGATAATGACATTTCACTATATGTCTTCCAATCCATGAGCACAGGATGGCATTCCATTTTTTGTAGGTCTCTTTTAGTCTCTTGAAATTATACTAAGTATTTTTACAGTGGATATGCCTGGTGTGATAGTCTGGATTATTTCCATTTTCACCTTAATTCTCTTCCATATTCTCCAAGTTTCTTTAAAAATTGGAATCTCAGATATTTGGAAGGAAGGAAAACGCTACTGTCTTGGTTCTCTAGTTTTGCTATAACAGAAATACCACAAGTGAATGGCTTTACAAAGAGGAATTTATTCTCCTACAGTTTAGGAAGCTAGAAGTCTGAGTTCAGAGTGCCAGCTTCAGGCACTGGGTAAGGGCCCTTCAACTTTTGACTTGAGCTCTGCCTCTTGTTGCAGGCCCACTGGAGCTGAAGGCTTCTCTTAACTCATATAGTGCTGGCTGCTGAGGCTGACCAACCCAAGATAAGCAGGTAAAATAGCACAATCCCAAAATCAGCAGGTAACATGGCAGGCTACTCATTCAAGTCTAAGCAATGGAGGTGAAGATTCAGCCAAATGCACGATCCAAATGTACCAAAAGCTAGAGACCTTTCTCAAAACTTCTCCATATACTGGAAACAGGCCAAATCGCAAAGGCAATTCCCTTTCCACTGATTAACATCTTATAGAAGCTTCTACCATGGAAGTGATCACAATCTCATCATGGGGAATAACTACATCCAGATGCCAAATCACTCAAAACCACTGGCCAGCCAAATTGACACACAACCTTAAGTGCACAGCTACTATATATATAATTCTCCTGTAAATTGGGCTAACACGGTAGGAGCCCATGTGGAAAACAGATCATCATAGAATGTATCACATAATACTTAATAACCATAACCAGTAACATTATACAAGCTTACTGTTGTTGTTATGTGCCGTGGAGTTGGACCTGACTCATAGCAACCCCTCCTTGGGTTTCCGAGGCAGTATCACTACGGAAGTAGATTGCCCAACCTTCCTTCCGAGGAGTGGCTGGTAGGTTTGAACCGCCAGCCTTCTGGTTAGCAGTCAAGTGCCTTAGGCACTATGCTACCAGAGTTACTATACAATCATAGTAGAGAATCAAATACTGTGGTAGTTCAGTTTGTATGTCAGCTTGGCTGGGCCTGGTTGAGTGGCTGGGCAGCTGGTGGTAGTTATTCTCCATGATGAGACTGGCAATCAACTCTATGGTGGAACCTACTGTGAACAGCTGAGTAGCTGCCTTAGGGAATGCTGTCTGCTTCCTATATATAAGCAGAAGCATTGGGGAATGGTCTCTAGCTTATGACATGCTTGGATTCTGCATGTAGCTGTGTTGTTGTTTAGCAGCCTGCCATGCTCTGCCAACCTGGGGACTTACAATGGACTTGAATTAATGGCCTGCCATGTGGTTTAGTAACATCGGACTGTGCCTTTTTACTTGTCAACCTTGGGTTTGGCAGCCTCAACATCCAGCAGCTGTCTGAGTGAAGAAAAGCCTCTAGCTTCAGTGGGCTGGGTGCTGGAGGCAGAGCTGAAGCCCAAGGCTGAGGGGCTTTATCCCAGCCTCTAGAGCCTGGCACTTTGAACTCGGACTTAAAGTCTCCAAAATGTAAGAGAATAAACTCCTGTTTGTTAAGGGCATCCCATTTGTGGTATATATTCCTGTTAGAGCGGCAATAGGTAACCAGAACAAATACCATAAATCTTGGTGACTGGGAATTGAATACAAATGAATAGACTAACCAAACCTCTGTTCTCTAAAGTACTCAGAGGCTTGCAAGATTGTTTAAGGACAAAAACTATATCTACTATAACAACAACTACTAATCTACTAAGTATGCAGTGAAAATGGAGTTCATCATCATCAAATAATCATACTAGCTGAAAATACAGTTCCCATTAAATTTGTAAAGATTCACTTTGCCACCAAATTGTGCACATAAGTGATAGACAACAGATGCTAATATCAACCAATGTGTCCACAGTGCTGCATTGCCAGTAACACCAAATGCTAGATTATACAGATAAACACATAAACACCTGAGATGATAAGACAGGGGTCAGTGAACAGAGGTAAACTCTAGACCAAGGACAGATTCAGCTGAGGCTAATATTGCACAGACACCAGTGATACAAAATACCTGAAGTCCTTACAGAAACAATAGAAGACAGACACAGAGTAATCCCTCACAGACATCCAGACACTATGGGAGAGAGATCCAATAGATCTAGCTCAGGACCATAGTACTCGGGTACACCAGACTCAATTGGCACAACAAAATACATAAAAGCGTTGCTCAACATCATATATTGGTGAGTAGTGACTGCTTTCAAGCAGCCATCTAAGATGCAGTTAATGGTCTCCTAGCATCGGAAGTGAAGAAGAACACAAAAACACAAAAACAATGGCATTTAGAAGCAATCAGCCCTAGGACGCATTGGCCCTCGAGACCAGAAGAACTAGATGGTGCCCAGCTACCAATGCCAATCACTCAGGAAAGGATCAAATCTGGAGGTCCTGGATAGAGTGGGAGGGAAAATGTGGAACAAAATCCCAAAACTCAATAATGACCAGAATTACTGGTCAGATGAAATCTGGTGAGACTCCCAATACTATGGCCCTGGAATACATTCTGTGCCTGGAATAAAACTCACCCCAGGGGCAGGCTCTCAGCCCAATAGTTAATAAGATGTACACGCAGATCACTCAACCCAGGATGACTCACCCACGTACTCTGTGGTAATACATCCCTTAGAGCAATAGACCATGGGACACCAAAGGACCAACATTGAAACTGAGGAAATGCAGGACAAACAGGAGTGCATAAATATGAGGGGCACAGGTGGAGGGTTACAGGGCAGGGAGGGAAGGAGATTGGGTTAGGGTTGGACATGGTGAATGGGGAATGAAACTAAATGTACACGTTACGTTGAATGTAAAACAAGCTCTTAAAATAAAAAATAAAAAAATAATTAAAATAAAAAAAGATCCACTTTGCAAGCAATTTTTACAAAAGTTTAGTGTTAACTCCGATTTGGATACTAATTTATTACACAGTTGTATTACACTTTTGTCTTTTCAGTCTACTGAAGCCTTAATGTTCATACACTTAATTTTTTTTAACTACAATGAAGTAACTAGCACTTAAAACTAATTTCTACCTCCATAAAGGTAATTGCAAGATATATTGCTTTTCATAATTAATAAATAACCAGAGTATTTGAGGATAGGAGCAGTGGCATCACTAGTGTTGGCGTCACCCACTATGGTAACTCTTGGTGTCCCCTCCACCTGGTGGGCCGGGCGGCCCAGGGAAACACCACCTCTATGGGCCAAGTGCCAGGTGGCGAGGCTCACCCCTCCTGGCCCCGGGGCTTCCAGCAGCACCTCCCCTGGGCCACTGTCGAAGACAGACTCACCAGGTCCGTCTGCCTCTGACCCGATACAGGGACGACAAGTGGAAAGGCAGTGGTGGTAACGTTACTGAATTGGGTGTCTAGTGACACCATCCCTAGTGACGCCACTGCTTTGGAAGCCCCTCACTCACCCTGTGGCTCTGGCTCTCCCGCTGCCGCCACCGTTGACAGTAGGGTCATTTAGGTGTTAGCTCCCTGGCAGTATCAGGGGGTGCAGTCCACACACCGCTAGTGATAATACTGGGTAGCAAGTCTGTCCCCCTGTCCCACCAATTCACTTGAGATCCAACGAACGAAAACAAAACAAGAAAACATTACCTTCTCTGGAGGGCCCGCATGCCACGGTCACATACCTTGATTCTTGCTTTCTCTATAAACTCTAGAGGGGCTTTTCCAAACTCAAATCCAGCTCCAATCCAAGGAATCCAGCCCCCGATGCACGGCGGTCCACGCAAATTTTTCCACTGAAGGAGTAATAAAAAAGCAATGCAACCTAGGAATATAATCACTGTTGGGGAAACTATTTCCATATTTTTCTCCAGCACGCTTCACAATCAGAAAAGGAAAAAAGTCCTACTGTCCTTGGACTTGCTCTCTGCCTCTAAACTAGAACATTCACCCGGCCTCCTAACCTTTCTGCTGCAACTTCTGCAGCTTGCTTTCCTTCCCAACTCTACCCGCCTTTCTCCGCCCCAATTTTCATGTGATTTTGCATCACCGCTTCTGCCCCAACTCCACTTCTCTTGAGTCCTACTTCTGGCAACAAAGTACTGGAGCTGTGGGTGGAGCCGGAGTGGCACTAGTTCTGCTGCCTTGGATACCGGGATACTGGCGCAGCGGGCGTACTGCTGCCGGCCAATCAAATAATGTGGTCCAAGAGGCGCTGAGCCCGTGGACTACATTCCCCAGAAACCTCATGGGTTCTGGTGTGTTTTCCTCCTGTCGGGTGCGGGGGCAGCTGGACCACTCAAGCTTGGTGATGCTAGGAGGGGTTGCGGGTTAGCCGGGCAGGTCCTGGCCAAGCCGAACGAGGGAAATGGTCCCCGCCTGGCCACTCGCCGGTTGAGGAGGGCCCTCTCCTGGTAGGGTGGCAGGCCAGCCAGGGCGCCGGCGAGGAGGGGTGCACTGTCGTCCTGTCCATCCGGCTGCTGAATGTCCGTCTCAGAGGATGAGGAGAAGCTTTTGCCGCTCGTCCAGAGATGGCCCAGAGCGAGCAAGTTCCTTTTGTCCGGCTGCGCAGCCACCGTGGCCGAGCTAGGTACCCGGTCGCCCACTCCTGGGCCTCCCCCGCAAGTTGCCGCGGAGCTGCGGTCAGGGAGGGAATGGCAGGCGGGCGGTTTTGTTCCAGAGTGTATGCCGGGCATCTGCGATGTGGCAGGGTGGGTGCAAGGCCAGCTTGGTGAGGTGGAGGGATTGGAGGGCACTTAGGTCTTTTGCTTCCAATTCCGTTTAATAGCTCCCCCAGCGGTGTGCTGTTTCCCATTTCTGATGATGACCTTTTAAAAAACACACCCTATCTTGTCCTTATTGAGATAATCTGTAATTTATATTCTTACACAGCCTTACTCTATCTTTGTCTTTTGAGTCCAAGTTGTGGATCCACCTTGTGAGATTTCAATTATTAACCTATAATTGAACACCAAAGGAGCTCTAGTGGTGCTATGGTTAAAAGCTTTAGGCTACTAACCAAAAGTTCGGGGGTTCGAACCCACCAGCTGCAGAGCGGGAGAAAGATGGGGCAACCTGCTTCTGTAAAGATTTACAGCCTTGGAAACCCTATGGGGCAGTTCTACTGTGTCCTATAAAGTCGCTATGAATCAGAATTGACTTGATGGCAGTGGGATTGCAAGCCTACCCAACATGGGCCAGATACTTGACCTCTTGAGTTTATTTTTTACTTTGTAAAATTCTGAAAGCTCATATTTCTATAATTGCTAAACCCAGGAAAGGACACCCATTAATAGCAACATTATTATAATTACTATAATACTAGGAATTGTGGGTACATAGTTGAAAAGAGCCAGGTTTTGATCTTAAGGATCTTTCAGGCTGGTAGAGAGAGATGCAGAGACAGACAATTGCAATGTGCTGTTTATTCTAATGAAGGTATCCTAAGAGCTTAGAGGAAAGGCAGTTATATCTGCCTGCAGGAGTAAAGAGAAAAGCTAAGTGGCCCTTTGACTCTTCACCTCAGCCACCTAGAACAGAATTATGATCATTTTGTATGAGCAGATGGTGTTTCTTCCAAAAGTTTTGTGAGTGAAGTGTCTCTGTGTTCCCTTGAATCTGTTACTGTGTATTTTAACATTACCTTTATATTTTCCTTCCTATTAAAAAAAAAAGCTCTGACGCATTATCAGAAAATAGCTTTGATGTGTTATCATTTGTAAATGTTTAAAGTTTCATCCTGTTCTAAAACAAATTCACCTCTCCAGTAACCCCAGTACATCATTATGCTTTGTTCTTTGTGTTCTTCCACTCCTGGCCTCTGGGCCCTCTATTTTTCTCCCTCCAAAGCTGACTACAGCATTTTTACTATTTATTCTTTTTACTCACTCAAAAAAGGAACTCTGGTGGTTTAGTGCCTAAGGCACTTGACTGCTAACCAGAAGACTGGCGGTTCAAACCCACCAGCCACTCCTCGGAAGGAAGACTGGGCAATCTACTTCTGTAGTGATACTGCCTCAGAAACCCAAGGAGAGGCAGGCCGCTATGAGTCAAAGACGACTCGATGGCACATAACAACAACAACACTGCTTTTACTGAATAAAAATACATCAACTTTTTTAAAAGGTAAAAGCAGATTCCTGGATGATTAGATATAGCTCCATTTTGTTTTTTTGTTTTAACTGATTTTCTACCCTGTGACTCAGTGACTTTTGTAAAGGAAAGAATCTTCCTGTTATAAATGTCTGCAGAGAATTGGGGGTAGGGGGGAGGAATCAAAATATACGATGGTTTCAAGAACAAATAAATTCAAGACCAGAGCCTGATGCATTATTTAAGTAAGCAACAAGAAAACCAAAATTATTTTGAAAGATGTAACCAATGCTAATGTTGTTGTTGTTGTCAGGTGCTTTAAAGTTGGTTCCAACTCTCAGTGACCCTGTGTACCACAGAACAAAACACTGCCTGTTGCTGAACCATCCTCACAATCACTGCTTTTGTTTGAGCCCATTGTTGTGGCCACTGTGTCAGTCCATCTCATTGGAGGTCTTCCTCTTTACTGACCCTTTACTTTACTAAATGACATAAAGTCTTACCACCCTCGCTTCTAAAGAGCATTCTAGCTGTTCTCTTCCAAGATAGATTTGTTCATTCTTCTGGCAGTCCATGTTATATTCAGTATTCTTTGCCAACACCATAATTCAAATGCATCAATTCTTCTTTGATCTTCCTTATTTCCTGTCTAACCTCGGTCCTCAAAGGGATGTCTTTGCTTTTTAACACTCTAAAGAGATATTTTGCAGCAGATCTGCCCAATGCAATACATCATTTGATTTCTTCTTTACTGCTGCTTCCATGAGCACTGACTGAGAATCCAAGTAAAATGAAACCCTTGACACCTTCGGCCTTTAACCATTTATCATGATGTTGCCTATTGATCCAGTTATGAGGATTTTTGTTTTCTTTAGGTTGAGGTGTAATCAATACTGAAGGTTGTCTCTTTGATCTTCATCAGTAAGTGATTCAAGTCCTCTTTGCTTTCAGCAACTAAGGTTGTGTCATCTGCATATCAAAGATTGTTAATGAGTCTTCCTCCAATCCAGATGCTGCATTCTTCTTCATATTGTCCAACTTCTCAAATTATTTGCTTAGTCTACACATTGAATAATTATAGTAAAAGGATGCTACCCTGACTCACACCTTTTCTGATTTTAAACCATTTAGTATCCCCTTGTTCTGTTCAAATGACTACTTTTGGTCTATGTACAGCTTCCTCATGAGCACTTAAGTGTTCTGGAATTCTCCTTCTCCGCAGTGTTGTACATAATTTGTTATGATCCACAAAGTTGAATGCCTTTGCATAGATAAAACACAGAGGGTACTATTTCTTAAGATTTTTCAGGTTTCAAATGTCAATAAATCCATCACTTACATTATCTATATGCAAGCTACTTCTATTTTAGGGAAACTATCAGTAATATACTAACTTTTCCAAAGACCAAAAGAATATTTAATATTCTTAACCTGTCACCTTCCTCTTTTATCTTGGAAAAGCATAGCTAGGATTTTGTATTAGGTAGTGGTCATTGAAAAAAGTTATGTGGTATTAGTATTGCTGATGCACTTGTCAGAATCTGGTTATTTTAGCTATTTAGGACACTGTGTGTATAAAGTTATCAGCTTGATCTACCTTATGTGGGCCAGTTAGTTTCATCCTGTTTCAAGACAGAAGGGCTCTCTAATTCCAAATGAAAAAAAAAAAAATTACATTTAGTATTTGTATGGAGGCCATGAGAAGGCTGTGCAAAAAAACTCATTGGTGCTGGAAAACAACTGAATAAATGCCTTATTGGAAAGAATATTGAGTATGCCACTCCTATAAAAAAGACAATATTATAAACTTTATATTGCATTTTCCATATTTAAAATATCAGGTTGGTGATTCATCTGCATGTGAACATCACCTATGCAATTTTAGAATTCAGCATCATTCAACATTTGTTAAGAACCTAATAAGTAGGACAGTATTTTTGAAGTTACATAGGATCTTTAAAAAGCCATTGCTACAATAAATGGGATGTCATAGGTAATAAAGATAGTTTAAGCTATTTCCCCCTGGAAAGCAAAAATTAAGGACTAAAGTAGATACTACCCTAGAATTTCTATAGAAAAAAGAGAGCCCAAGGCTTATTACTTTTTTTTTTTTTTTCCCCCTGGTGAATTAGAAACTGTATTCATAGAGCCAAAAAAATCTGTAATAAAAAAAAAAAAAATCTCTCTAGATGATTTTGATGTCAAGTTTGAGAACCACTAATCTCAGAGGGGAAAATACTAGTCCTATGATTTTAGACTTTTGTTTGTTTCTCTGAATGTTCTGGGTTTTTCCCCTTGTTTTGTTTTTTATTAGCAACCTTTCCTCTTGATCTCACAAAAACTCGACTCCAAATGCAAGGAGAAGCTGCTCTTGCTCGGTTGGGAGACAGCTCAAGAGAACCTGTCCCCTATCGGGGCATGGTGCACACAACTCTAGGGATCATCCAAGAAGAAGGCTTTCTAAAGCTTTGGCAAGGAGTGACACCTGCCATTTACAGACACGTAGGTATTTATCTTGATTCTGTCTGGTAAGTTTGTTATGCATTCTGTGTTTATCTTCTGTATTTTCTGCTTAGCTAGTTTTTCTGCTCATATGATAAATGAATATATAGTTTCTTAAGGAGAAGAAAACTAATACTAAAAAAAATGTTATTAAGGAAGTATTGGCTTAAATTTTTAGAAATGCACACTGAAGTATTTAGGGATAAATTGGCATGACACCTGTAAAATACTTCAAAATAATTAAGAAAAAGAAAAGCAGCAAATATGGCAAAAATGTTAGCTACTCACAAATGTCAATGAAAGATATAAACCCATTACTGTCAAGCTGATCCTAACTTAGGGTGAATTGTGTTATAGAGTAGAACTGCTCAATAGGGTTTTCTTGGCTTTCATCCTTACAGAAGCAGGTCACTAGTCCCTTTTTTCTGCATCACAACTGAGTGGGTTCCAACCACCAAGCTCTAGGCTACAAGTTGAGTGCAAACCATTTGTACCACCCAAGGATAGATATAAAGCACCGAAACCAAACTTGCTGACATCAAGTTGGACCTGACTCATAGTGATCCCTCCTTGGGTTTCTGAGGCGGTATCACTACGGAAGTAGATTGCCCAAACTTCCTTCCGAGAAGCAGCTGGTGGGTTTGAACCGCCAGCCTTCTGGTCAGCAGTCAAGTGCCTTAGGATATTATTCTACTTTTCTGTATGTTAGAAAATTTTCATAATGAAGAGTTTTTTTAAAAGTATACATTAAGAAAGAAAATAATGAGTCATTGATATCCTTTTTTCTACTTTAGAAACTTTAAACATCAGATTTAAATTTTTTGTGTACTTTGAAAATAAATATATATCTGACTCATTAGCATGAAACTCTGTCTCAAAAGTCAGAGATCCATCTATACCTACTCCTCACTTATTGACTATTGTTATCTAACATTTTGGACTTATGACAATAGTAAAAGATCTGCTATCTGACTATTTTGAACATTAATGATGTACATCTGGCAGTAACAAATTTCAAGATGATAGGCAAGAATAATGCTGGCTGTGATTTTAAGGTTATGCGTCACCTTGTCTGGGCCGTGATTCTCAGTGGTTTGGCAGTTATATAATGATGTAATTTGACAGTTATGTAATGATGTATTCATCCTCCATTTTGTATCTGATGTAGTCTTCCTCCTTTTTCACATCACATCAATTTTTGCATAATAGCCTGGTCTTTGGAAGAACATGGATAACTAACTGTTTAATCCAATTTAGGCAATAGATTAAATGCTGCTTAAGTGTTTTGTGCCTCACTTCCACAGGCTGGCTGACTAGATGAGTGGGTCATTAATCACTGTTAAAGGATTAATCACTGTTAAATAGTGGCAACTATACTATAGCCAGTGAGAACACTTTTCTGCTCTGCTTCCAAAGGGGCATTCATGAGGATAGGATTATTTTGGGCTGTGGACAAAAGAATGTAAATTTTGCCTCAAAAGAAGGTGAAATATGTGTGGCATTTTTCTCCTCTACACCCACAGTGTTTCCTTAAGAATAAAGGGATGCTTCATCAGAAAAGTGCCCAGTACTAATATTCAACAGCTTGAAATTTTTAAAGCTTTAATTTATTCAGATGAGTAAGTTAGAGTATGTAACTAGAGAACTATTCAGAAGTATGCATAAAGATTTATTGTTTGGGGCACTAGGTATATTTTTTACTATCTTAAAAGGCTTTCTCAGATGTCCTGAAATTTCAAAAAATGTTCCTTCTATAAATACCATGTTCTAATTTTAATGCTTTGTAAAAAATTTCCCATTCATGATTTTTACATTTTCTTCTTTGCTTCCCATTACTGTTTTGAGTTTCAGTTCTTTTGATTTACATTTAATTGACTATCATGTATTGCTTTACAGTTTATCATGTATTTCATATGCTTGGCACTTGGCTGAAAAATTGCATTGGTAACTTCTCCAATGAAGTTATACTTATTTATTCAACAAAATGCGTGCTGTGTACCACACTGTATATTAGGGAGTATAGAGTAAAGAAGAGACATGGAAACTGCCTCAAGGAGCTCATGGTCTATTGGAAAGATAAGCAAGAAAATCAAGTGAATCTCAAAACAAATGATAAATGCCATGATAGATGTATGCCCAGGTAGCTCTGGGGGAACAGAGGAGATGCATGACATGTGGAAATCAAACAAAAAACGCAGAAGGAGAGATGGACGAGTACCTTTAGGAAAACATGTTGTTTGAGGTGAGTTTTGACAGACTAGTACGAGATAGCCAAGCAGGGAAGGAAAAAAATTCATTATAGAAATATGGGACAGTGAGCAGGAAGGGCTGAGGCTTAAAAAGGCATGGCACATTTAAGTAAATGTCAGAAAGCCCATGTGGCAGAAGCATAGTAAGCATGAGAGAAAGACAAAGCTAGAGAGACAGACTGGGCCAGATCCGAATGTCCTTTTTATTTCATTAAACATGTCACTAAATTTGCCTTTTTGATGATGTTTCACACAGTGTATTCTGGAGGGCGAATGGTTACATATGAACATCTTCGTGAGGTTGTGTTTGGCAAAAGTGAAGATAAGCATTATCCCCTTTGGTAAGTTTTGTTTTGAAGATAATATGCTATTGTCCCAATGACTTTAATGTTTGTATATTAGATTTATATAAAATCTGACATTTTTACCAAAACTGCCTTATGCTATAGGCTTAAAATAGTTAGAAATCCAAATAATTGAGCATTTACTACATATTATATACAGATATCCATATGTGTGTGTGTATACACACACACACACATACATATATAAATTGTATGTATATATTATTTATTTGATATTTTAATATTAAAGCAGTCCTACAGACCACCTTCCTTGTTCCTCTTTCTATTGAGAAACTACAGGCTTTAGAGTTGGACAGAAGTGGGTTCAAATTCCTGTTCTGCTACTATGCAGCCTAGGCAAAGTACTTCAACTTTTAGGTCTTCACATTTCTCAGTTGTAGAAGAAATATTTACCATCAAGCATTTGTTTCTGTGGGATTAGATGATGTAATGAATGCCAGTACATGTTACAAACATTAAGAAACAAGAAAAAATAGGTTACTATAAATAATGCACAGAAAACTCCTAGAAATCAGTATGTAAAATACTGAGAGCACAGGGGAAATAAGGAAAGGATGTCAACAGGCAATTCACAAAAGAACTATTGTTAATGTTCCTCCAGGAGTACCTGGGTGGTACAGATGGTAAACATGCTTGGCTGCTAGTGGAAAGACTGGAGGTCTGAGTCCATCCAGAAGCACCTTAGAAGAAAACCCTGGCAATCTACTTGTAAAAAATCACAGCCTTTGAAAAGTAAAAGAAGAAAAAAGAAAAAACGAAAACAAAAACAAAGACAGACATATAAACAATTAGAATAGTGTAAAAAATTTTTAAATTGTATTTACTAATTAAGGTTGCTCTAGTCAAGATAGTTGTTGTTAAGATAGTTGTTGTGAGTTGTTAAGCTATTGCGTTCTATATTTGCTCAATTTTCATAAATGATGTTTCAATGATACTAACCCTTTAGACTGGGAGCCTTAGGCTCTTGACTGCTAACCAGAAGGCTGGCGGTTCAAACCCACCAGCCACTCCTCGGAAGGAAGGTTGGGCAATCTACTTCCATAGTGATACCACCTTGG